TACAATAAATTAAAAAATTAGCCAGGTGTGGTAGCACACACCTGTAGTTCCAGCTACTTGGAAGGCTGAAGCTAAATGATTGCCTGAGCCCAGCAGGTTGATGCTGGGGTGGCACTTACATTCCAGCCTGGACAACAGAGTGAGACTCCAACTCAAAATACAAAAACAAAGACAAAAACAAGACTGAGGGACCAAGTGCAATGTCTTGAGGCAAGAAATGTCCTGACTTTGAAAAACATAAAAGCCAGTGAGACTAGGTTTTTGAGCAAGTGGGTGGAAGTACTGAATTAGATTGAAGAAGTAGACAAGAGAGCCAAGCACACAGGGCAAGCTAAGAAATTTAGGTTTCTTTCTGAACATAACAGGGAGCATTTGGAGGATATTTATATAACAGTGGAAGATGAATCCATATATATTCTGAGAGTTCACGTAGGCCACTGAGTGGAAAGTGGATCAAATGGGCGAGATTGGAAGGAGGGTGACAGTGGTCCAAGAGAGAGATGCCTGTGGTCTGGCACTTATCTTTTTTTTGCTGTATGAGAAAACCACATTGTCTGAGGGAAATCCCTCTACCTGAATCACCTATCAACATCTCTGCTTTTATTAATTCTCCCCCTTTTATTTTCTGACTTTAATTTCTTTCCTTCCTTTGGGTCTAGCTTCTTGGTATACTTATATACTCAAGTCTCTTCCATATTAAAAAGATAATAACAGTAATAAGAGGTGTAATCTTTAAGGAATGAGTAGATCACGAGGGCTCCGGCCTGACGAATGGATTAATGCCATTGTTGCAGGAGTGGACTAGTTATCTTGGGAGTAAGTTCCTGAAAAAAGGATGAATTCAGCCCAATTTCCTCTCTCTGTCCCATGTATCTGCTTCCATCTTCCACTCTTCCCCCCTGGGATGACCCTTGCCAGATGCCAGCACCATGCCCTTGGACTTTCCAGTCTCTAGAACAGAGAGTAAAATAGATCTCTTTTCTTTACAAGTTATCTAGTCTGTGGTGTTCTGTAATAGCAGCAGAAAATGGACAGAGATGTCCACATTCTATAATGACACTATTTTTGTGTTCTCTTCCTATCTCCCTCACAGATCCTTCTAATCAGTGTTTTCTTTCTTCATGCCGCTGTCCATATCCTGTCACTCATTGTCAGAGTACTGTCACAACCTCCTTATTTATCTCCCTTCCTCTACCAGGATCATTCTCCATGTCATAATGTGCTTTGGTCTGTACGGAGGATGGGTTAAAAGATATAGGGACATATTGGTGTAGTTCAGAAACACGGTCATTTGTTTAAAGGATGATGTAGTTGAAGGACGATTCTCCAGTTTACTCTATGAAAGACTCACTCTCAGAAGACATAAGTTTGGCTTTCAGACTGTCCCCTTAAAATGTGGGAGCTGCTGGACAGGCTTAAACTTTTTTAGCTGTAGACACTGAGATCGCCTGTACCTGCTGATCTAATTACTACTTCCTTATCTATATCTAACTTTACACCTTGGTGAAGTGTTATCTTTGAATAAAATCATTCTTGAATGCAATCACAGTGGATGCCTCAGGTAAATTATTCATTCAATGAGAGTAATGGCTCTACTATATTGAAATCCCAGCCTTGATTCATACACTATAGAGGACAACAGCATTTCAAGTGACATTTTAATCATCAAGCATGAGGTTGTTCTATTATAAAGATCACTGAAGTTCCTCAATTCATAATCATTCTAGTCAGAATGTTTGTGTCCCCTCAAATTTTATATGTTGAAATCCTAACTCCAAGGTGATGGTTTTAGGATTAGTGCTCTTCCAAAGAGGCTGAAGGGGCATCCCTTGCCCCTTCTGTCAGGTGAGGCTAGAGTGAGAAGATGGCTATCCGGAAGCAGACCCTTGCCAGACACTGAATTTGCTGGTGACTTGACCTTGGAATTCCCGGCCTTCAGAACTGTGAGAAATAAATTTATAAGCCACCTAGCCTATGGCATTTTGTTATAGTTGCCAAAACAGACTAAGAAAATAACTTTATCATTGACTTTATGGAAAATATTCTCATGGTTGCTTCTAGGGAGATATTCTAGGAATCCAATGTAAGCAAACCTGGTTACTTTGATTTCTAAAGCGCAGGCCTGCCCATGTCTCCCTGTAAGATCATAAATCCTGAGTGCAGGGAAGGTGTCATTTAATTTGTTACTCTAGCATCTGGCAAAGTGACTAGTGTTTAGCAGTTGCTCAATAAATATTTGTTGACTTACAAATGGATAATGGTCAGACCATATGTAAAAATAGAACTCTGACCTTCAACCTGTGGCAACCTGCCCAGGAAACCAACCCCTTCATCTACAATAAACAACCCAGGATGGTACCCTGCTATGTCACACGAGTGGGAAGCCAGAATACTAACTCCAGTAACAATAGAAGAAGCCAAACAATAACCAGTGTAACAATCAGCCCCAAATGGTTTGGATTAACTGATGTCTTCCCTTGCTTCCAATTTAGGGCCAACCAGAGAAAGCCAAATATGCACCCCTAATGAATCACAAAGGATGCCTGTTTCTAGTTAGCCCACCCTGTAGCTTCCATGCCTCCAATCAGGGCACACCTGAAGTCTTCTCTTTTTTCTATTATAAAGCTTTCTTACTTCTTTGCTTGCCTTTGAGTCTCTGCCACAACACAAGTGACGATAGCTGATGCCCTTGTTATAGTGAGTTCAAAGTAAATGGACTTTGCTTCTCCTCATTTGATTGTCTTCACTTATTTCCACAAGTTAATGCCACTGGAGACTCAGGGCAGACCCAGAACTTCCAAGGTGACAACGTACAGCTTCAAAATTGGAACATAGTTATGGAGAGCCGTAACCTGACTTTCTGAGGTAATCTGCCTCTGCACACTGTTTTCCTTTTTTTTTTGAGTTGGCATCTCACTCTGTTGCCCAGGCTGGAGTGCAGTGGCACACTCACAGCCACCCCAGCGTCAACCTGCTGGGCTCAGGCGATCCTTCTACCTCAGCCTTTCAAGTAGCTGGAACTACAGGTGCATGCTAGAACTACAGGTGCATGCTATCACACTGGGCTAATTTTTTGATTTATCAATGAGGTCTCACCATGTTGCCCAGGTTGGTCTTGAACCCATGGGCTCAGGCAATTCTCTTGCCTCGGCACCCCAAAGTGCTGAGATTACAGGCTTGAGCCACCATGCCCGGGCTCCTGTTTTTTTTCAAACAAACAAGCAAACAAACAAACAAACCTTCAAGGCATGGGTTTGAAGGCAGAATCTTTTGATAAAAGAGAGTCAACTGACCCTGCAGTTTCCAATGGCCCCTGAGTTTTATCTTTCACAGGCAGTAGGCTCAATTTAATGAATCCTATCACTGCTATGCTGGGCCATGCTCTTAGAATGTTGTGTCTTAAGGGTCCTCAGAGACTCTTCTGGGAGTTGTCAAGTTTGTTTGAATCAGTATGAGCTTTTTTATTTTTTGAGTTGGAGTCTCATTCTTGTCGCCCAGGCTGGAGTGCAGTGGCACGCTCATGGCCACCGCAGCCTCCACCTGCTGGACTTAGGCGATCCTTCTGCCTCAGCCTTCCAAGTAGCTGGAATTACAGACACATGCCACCATACCCAGCTAGTTTTTGTGATTTATTGTAGAGACGAGGTCTCACAAAGTTGCCCAGGCTGGTCTCGAACCCACGGGCTCAGGTAATCCTCTCGCCTCAGCATCCCAAAGTGCTGGGATTACAGTCTGGTCACTGCGCCCAGCCAGTATGAGCTGCTATAACAAAATACCCTGGACTGGGTGACTTAAATAATGTGTTTATTTCTCATGGCTATGGAGCCTGGGAAGTCCAAGATCAATGTGCTAGCAGACTCAGTGTCTTGTCAGAGTCCTTCTTCTGGCTTGCAGATGGCTGCTTTCTTACTGTGTCATCACATGGTAGAGAGAGAGAGTAATCTATCTCTCTTCCTTTTGTTATAAGGGCATTAATCATTGGGATTTCTCCCTTATGATCTCATTTAAATCATGATCTCCCAAAGGCCCCATCTCCAAATACTGGACGTTAGGACTTCAACATATGAATTTGGAGGGAGACACAAATTTTCAGTCCTAAAAGTGGTCTGTCATGCATAACATCCCCAAGCTGCCCAGCCAGTTGTCATGTGATGAGTGCTGGCAGTGATGCCACTCCAGGAGTGAACAGCCTCTCCTGCAGGCACACTGGCCACAGCTGGCCATACTTGAAGCTCCCCTTGATAGTTTCATCTCAGGAGAACTAATTCTTCCACTAGACTCGACAATTGATTCTGTTCTTGCCTGATAGACCCTGTACTCTTTTGTGCCTGTCCAAGCTGCCTTAGGCATCTATAGGCATCACCACCAAAGTCTTGGAGCCCTCAAGATGCCTGGATTTCCCAGACATCTGTGGTAAAATAAGGGAGGAGAAGGTCTCTTTCCCCCCTTTAAATCTGTTTTGTGAGAGGAGTGCTAAAATAGCATTTATTTATTTATTCATTGGACAAATATTAAGGGCAACTACACAGCAGGCATCATTCCAGGTGTTAGAACTAATGGTGTGAAAAAGACAGGCTTCCTGCTTTCACTCTAGTGGGTGAAGACAGAAAATAGACAAGAATACATATATAATGTCAGCTAATGATAGGAGTATAAATAAAGCAGAGTAATGGGTTAAAGAATGATGGAGATTTGGGAGTAGGCATGCTATCATTTTTTCCCTCATAGGCATCTGTCCCAGTTCAGGTTTCTGGCATGTATCTTATGTCTTAGACTGGATGATCAGAGAAGACCTCTGACATTTGATCACAAACCTAAATGAAGTAAGAGTGAATAATGGGGATATCTGGGAAAATAGCAAATGTAGACTACTGTAGCAGTTTGCATGTGCTCCAGTGTTTTATGGTTTCAGTGGTTTCTAGCTCTTTCACTTTTTCCTGAAATCTGTCCTTTGTCTCGTGCTTGACCTCCAAAACCCCAATTAAGACTTTTTATCTGTAATGGACAGTTTTCTTTCCCCCATCACCTCTGTCTATTCAGAAACAAAGAAGGAGGAGGAGAAGAAAGAGGAGGAGGAGGAAGAGGAAGAAGGTGGCAGCAATAACAACGGGTATAAGAAGGGAAAGGGAGGACATAATGTGCTTGCTCCTTTTTTCATTGATGAAGAAAGGGCTGTATCATGAATGGGGCAGGTCTAGTCGGAGCAGTTCCTTGGTTCTGTCAGCATGCTAGATGTGGGGCAGTGGGACTCCCATTGGGTTGTCTGATGCTCAAGTTTTTATGTAGTCATTTGGGTATAGCCCTGGTATGGAGATTGATAGCCAGAAACCTGAACCGTGAGCCCCAGGTATAGTACCCTCTGTTCAGAACGTATGGGTAGGCCCCATGCTCCCTATATGTCTTTGTCTATTTTTCCTCATTCTCTGGGCCCCTGCCTTGATGATGGCTATTATAGATAATGATAATATTTCCTTCTGAGCTCAACATCAATCCTTTATGCTTAACGTTTTTAGCTAGAACCCTTTGCCATAATCTTAGGCAGTATGCAAGGAAAACTTCTTTCTTTTTTCCTGTCTGTCTATCTATCTATCTATCTATCTATCTATCTATCTATCTATCTATCATCTATCTATCTATCATCAACTTTTGAATAGCACTTACTCCAGAGTTGGAATTATTATAATGTGTTATGGGTGGTAAAAGTATAGCGTTGTATTCTCTACTATATCTTTCCCCTGTGAGATTGCAAACATGTGTCTGAGGTGGCTATGATGAAAGACAGAACCGAGGATATGAAGACACATGGATACTCGGAATCACCACTCTCTTCTGGTGACTAAAGCTCTCTGTTCCTGCATTAAGTGCATCTTGCCAAGTTTATTCTTTCCCAGAGAATCAGGAATGTCTAAATTTCAACTTGGGTGAAAGTATCCCTGCTAAGGGATAACAGTAGGGAAATACTATGGAGAACACAGGGAATAGGAAGAGTCGGAATTACAAGGAGTGGGTGGCCAGGTTAGTCTGTTCTCTCAGGGAAAGAGAACCCTCAGTTCTAGTCCTGTCTTCTTTGGTTGCACCTACTGCTACTAGAAGGAAATATCAACAGGGACACTTGCTTGGCCATAGTAGGTTGGTGCCAACAGGCTGAATTCCTACTTCCTAGCATAGTATCTGAAACCTAGAAAACACTCAATTCATCTTTGATCAGAAGGTACTGTGCTTCAGAGCAGAAATCAGAATTCTGGTAACTGGGAACATACCCCATTCATAGTAAATTTAACTAGTGTAGAATTTACAAAGTTATTTTCTGTAATGTGTCAATGTCCTCCAGTCAAAGACCACACAGTTGGGTTTATTATTCATTACAACAAGGGAGAACACACACCATGGGGGATCATGAGGAATCTCTATAATAGGATGTTATTAGAAGTTATAGGATTTGGGCTTGTGTTAGGTGGTTTTGGGGAAAGATTTAAAGAACTGGGGCTTTGCACTGAATTGGATACAGTCAAGACCGGGTGATAATATGACTGGGCATCTTAGTGCATTTTATCTAGAAGAAAAGAATACAATGATGCTAGAGCTATAATTGATAAAAAAAAGCAGTAGTCATCCAAATTAGGTGGAAAAGAGGCATGTTTGGTATATCTGTGGCTTGCACAGTAACATTGTTTTTATTTAGATAAGATTATGAAGCGTTAGCTGGGTGTGGCAGCACGTGTCTGTAGTTTCAGCTACTTGGGAGGTTGAGGCAGGAGGATTGCTTGAGAAGTGATCTTGTTTTGTTTTTCTTGCTTCATCACGAGTCACAGAAAGACCTTGTATGATATTGGTGGTCTATGAGATTGTTTATGCTCATAGCTGTGAATCCCAGTCCAGCTCCTAACAACACTGAGGTTCAGTTATTAGTGTCAGACCAGTTCTCAGATACTCTAGTCCCCACTTAGGTCAAGGATAGACAAAGGTGTGCCACAGGACATTAATCTATGATATTCAGTTTTTCACCATTGCTGAGTTTATGCTGTTCTGGAGAATGTAATCTGTAGTCAGACAATGGTTAATTTCTCCTTCCCCTGTTGTAATCTGAATCATTGAATCATATGATAGGACAATCAATGCCTGTGCAGAAACATGTAGGACTCTGCACAGGATACAATGACCAAGTGCAAAAAAATCATTTATCATAAACAAAATGATTAACTACCTTTGTAATAAGTCTTAAAGCCAGGGTCCCAGGTAATAAAATCCTGGCAATGAAAACATATCCCAGGATCCAGCTGGGTCTGTTTTAGAAAGCCAGGTGGCTTTTCTTTTTTCAGTCATGTTCTACAGTCCCTGTAAGGCAGCAATAAGTGCTGGTAAACATCAACTCATCTTGGTTAGATAAGAGGAAATCAAGGGCTATATTACTGTCCATGAAAACTCTGGAGAAGTTGTGCCATTTATGAGGTCTGCTAAGGTGAGAGACAAGTTTTGGATCACCTTTTTGAATTGTATTATCTGTGAGAATTTCATTCACAGAGCACATACGAAGAACGAGTCCATTATAAATAGTCTATAAGTCTGTGGCTTGCCTATTTTGTTGGTTTCTCAGTATTCTTCTCAGAGAGACACAAGCCCTTGGAGGGGTGGTAATTTTTTTTTTTTTTTTTTTGAGTCAGAGTCTCACCCTGTTGCCCAGGCTAGAGTGTAGTGGCATATACATGACTACTGGGCCTTGATCTACTGGGCATATATATCCTACATACGCCTTGACCTGCTGGGCTTGGGCGATCCTTCTGCCTCAGCCTTCCAGGTAGCTGGGACTACAGGTTCGCTCCACTATGGCCAGCTAATTTTTTGATTTATTATAGAGACAAGTTCTCTCCAAGTTGCACAGGCTGGTCTCAAGCTGCTGGGCTCAGGCACCCCTTGCCTCCCAAAGTTCTGGGATTACAGGCATGAGCCTCTGCACCCGGTGTAGAGGAGTGGTAATTTTAAACACTGGAAGGACTCTGACAATTAGTTTAAACACACGGTATAAGTTAGTGTGTAGTAGGAGGATGTAAGCCTGGTGTTCATATAAGGAAGTAGTACTCTAGTGGATTACAGACTGCATTGGGAGTATAAGTATCATTTAGCACATCGAAACAAACCAACTGTCCCTCAAGGTAGTCAGATTTCTTGAATGAAGTTAAACAGGTTTCTGCAAAGCAGGCTGGAATGTTTCAGAAGAGAACCATCTGAGTATTGTAGTGAGAAGAGCACCAATATTAGTTTCCATTTCTGAAGATTAGGTTTTTCTGATAGAATTGTAATGACTTCGGAGAAACATTTTGTTGAAGTGTCCAATTTTTCTAAGACTAATGTTTGGGAATAATTATGTGAGGAAAGCTTAAGTGCCAAAAGTGATCTATAGAAGGAAATCCACTTTATGAAATCTATAACAGTACAGTCGTTAAATTTGTCAACAGTCAGTTAAATTAAGAGCAGTAGCTATAGTTTGAGAAAAACACACCAGAGTTGTTTCTTTTAAGTGGCAGAAGAGCACAGGGAGTTAAAAGTAGCAGGATGAAGATAAGGGAGATAATACTGTGAAATCAATTTGTCAGTTAATAAAGGTTGTCAACATACAATAATAAACAAGATTAGTGGTAGGGTAGATGCTGAAGAATCAGAAAATTAGTCTTGTTCTGTTGTCTTGGCTATAAGCTGCCCGCTTCTGCAACCAGCAGCTTCTGGAGAAGTTCCAAGACTTTTCAGTTTAGGTCTTCTAATAGAATGGATGTCCAGTAGTCATGAGAAAATGATTCAGGTCTTTTTAGTTGGGTAACATGAATCCAAGGATCAATGCCTTCGAGTTTTACTGCTGGGTCAGTTGTTAACAGTGCCTGCTGAGTTCTTTTGCACTGAGCCTCAAGGAAAATTTTTTTCTAATGCTTTTTCAGAAGACCAAATTTTCACATTTCAGATCATGCAGAAGTTACTTAGATGGGTGCTTTGAAAATGCAATTTCTATCTGTTGTTGATAAAGCTGGAATTATCCTATGAGTCTCCTGCAGCAATTAGTGATAAGAGCTTGTATTACGATAGCATCTAGTATTGGAATCAATTTTCAAATATATGAGGCAGCCTGTTATTAACTCAGAATGAGATAACTTATGCGTCTCAGAATGGATGGATCTTATTGCCATCAAGGCAAATGGAAGTACTTTGGCCTTTGGAAGTTACAGGATTTCTGAGGGCGATGATAACTACTTTTCGAATTCCATTAGTTCTCTTTATTTTTCCTGAAATTTGTGGATGACAAAGATAGTGGAGTTTCTAAGTAAAAGGTGAAGCTTTACAGAGTTATTTAATAACAATATCAGTGAAATGTGTAATCCTGTTACTAGAGATATATGTCAGGATTCTGCACTCAGGAATAAACAATCAAGCAATTTTTTTTCTACTATTACAGTCATAGCTCTCCAGCAAGAAGAAACCTCCATCTATCCTAAGAATAAACACTAATAACCTTAATGTACTCATAGTCCACTTAGAGGTGTTCAACAGAGTTCTAAAACTTTGGGCTCCAGCTCATGTTCTACCCTCACAGTTTTGCAAGGATTGAGTCATTTATAGGTAGGACATATATTTTCCGCAATACCTCTAAAATTGCCCTGCTGATGTTGGTTCAATATCATTGTTAATATATCTCTGCTATTGTGGGTAATATTATGAAAATTTTTGCTGGATTCCACTTTAATTATAAATTTTCCTTATTCCCTTAGGTCTCAAGATGCAAAGTGTCTCAAGAGTCTTTAATTTGTCATTCATTGTTTCTGAAGTGGTCAGGAAATCTTTCTTATTTTTTAAAACAGTATTTCATAAAAAACAAAAAAAATTTCAGTCATTGCATATGTACTATCAGTATAAGTATTTGTACTATCATACATATGTACTATCGGTATGAGCATTTCCTCTTTTATTCTTTATCAGCTGGTAGACCCGGGCCAGGACACTTACTACACTAACAGAAGACCTGGGATGGCATGTCAGTCACTTACTAGGTAAGAAACTTGGGGCAAGTTATTTTTCTGAGCCTCAGATTCTTCAAACATGAAATTGTAATAATACTTGTCTCACAGAACTGTGAGCATTAATGAGTTATTGTATAATAATCCACTTATCAACCACTAAGTCCTTCACATTG